ACCCTAACCCTAACCCCTAACCCTAACCCTAACCCTAACCCTAACCCTAACGCTAACCCTAAAAGACTCCCTTCTCGCTGGAACCAGCTTCTTGCTTCTCTCCAAGTAGGTCGTGTCTGTGTTCTGCTGTTTTGGGCTCTGGATCCCTCGTTCCCTCATGCTCGTGGAAATGGCCATAACCTCGTGAGTGTCCTGCCCCACCCCCAGCTCTGAGCTGGGTACCCTTTTGCTCTCCACTCACCCAGGACTCCAGAGTCCACATCTTCTTTTATCCCATATCCCTTCCAAAAATCCCTGCAAACTAATTGATCATGAATCTAGTCCCCTTTCAACTTGTGCTAATCAGGTCTCTTGAACTTCTGGTTCTGTTCGTCCTCAGTCAACCATTTTGTTCCTATAGGCCCCAATTCCTCTCGTCCTCAGCCCCTGGACCCTATCCTGTCTCCGTCTTGCTGGGTCACACATTCTGAATGACTGGTCCCTACTATGACCCCCTCAGGGAGCCCCACCTCTGTTGCACCCTTTGAGTCTGGTATCCCCTCAGCTGGCTGCCACCTCCCCCTCTGTGAGGCCCACCTCTGCTCCCACTCCAGGTTTTATGCAGTATGCTTTTACCTGCTGATGAGGGTCATGGTGGAAGGCTTTGGTGGGAAGGAGGCAGTAGTGAGGACACTGAAAGACACTCCGATGATGGTCCACACAGGCCCCTGCTGCTGCTGCTGCCCCTGCTGCCCCCCATTCATGCTCACCAGGTAAGGTGGGAGGGAGAGGCTCCCTCGAGGAACAGGTTAGCCTCTTCCTGCACTCTCCCAAGAGCCTCTCTGGCTCTCTCAGCCTTGCTTCAAGTCTCTTGGAATCAGGCCGGCATGGAACAAAGCCAATGATGAAAGGGTGGGCATCCCACGGCCACCGCCCACACATTGGGCACCCACTCAGGGGTGAGGAGAGCAGAGGAAGAACTCCGATTGCCATCACTTAAGTTCACTGCTGCCTACAAACTTTAGCCACATGGAGCAAAGTGGACTTTGGGCTACTTACTTGTCCCTTGTGTCCATTTTGGTTAATGAGGTTGGGGTCAACATTGTTCTCGCCCAAAGGCAGCATTCTGGTCTGGGGGTGAGTGGGAGACAAGAAGAGGGTTTCCAATGCTCTCAACATTCCGGCTTCTTCCTATATCCCCAGTCATCGAGCCATTTTGGTGTCTGTTATGGCAGCTGAGCTTCAGCTCAGGAGCCCAGTGAGGGAGCTGGAAGATGTTCTTGAAGTAGGCAGTCTGGGGGTTCATGTTCCTAACCCTCTTCTTCCTTCAGGAAGAAGCTTCAGCTGCTGATGTTGGGCCCATTCCAGTATGCCTTCTTCAAGATAACACTGAGCCTGGTGGGCCTGTTTCTCATCCCAGATGGCATCTATGACCCAGCAGACGTAAGCCAGGAGTAAGGGGCAGCAAAGTCCAAGACTCATTTAGTACCTCTGAGCTCTAGAAGGAAGAGCTGGAGCCAACATCCCCTGCAACAGGGCCCCACAGACAGGGTAGCCCCAGCAACAGTGTAGCCGTGGAAAAGTAGAGGCTTGGAGACCCTGGTGGGAAGAGGAGAGTGGAATAGGCCAAAGCTTTGGGGCTTTTTTATTACCTTTCCCACCATAGAAGAAGAGAAATAAAAGGAGGAGAAACAGCTCGCCTCCCTCACTGACTACTTTCTGATCTGCCACCAGATTTCTGAGGAGAGCACAGCTCTGTGGATCAACACTCTCCTCGGTGTGTCCACCCTGTTGGCTCTCTGGACCCTGGGCATCATTTTCCGTCAAGCCAAGATACACCTAGGCGAGCAGAATATAGGAGCCAAATTTGCCCTCTTTCAGGTAACTCTACCCTGGGAGAGAAAAGATGGTTGATATTAGAGCTACCAGTAACTGGGGTTAGGAGATGAGACTAATAAAGACCAAAAGTGGGTCTGGGAATCTTCTTAAGCCTAGGTTTCCTGTGAGCTTTAAAAAATGATTCCTGCCCCTTCCCAGCTTTTGCTTTTCTGTGCTGTAATAGCTTCTAGTGCTGCCCTCACAAAGGATCACAAACTGGGTGGCTTAAAACAACAGAAATTTATTTTCTCACAGTTCTGGAGGCTAGAAGTTCAAAATCAAGGTGTCTACCAGGTCATGCTTCCCCTGAAACCTATAGGGGAGGATTCTTCCTTGCCTCTTCCTAACTTCTGGTGGTTGACCAGCACTCCCCGGCTGGCAGTTGCATCACGGATTTTGCCTCCATCATGACATGGCATGTATTGTGTGTCTTGTGTCTCTTTTCCTCTTCTTATAAGGACAACAGTATATGGGAATAAGGATCCACTCTCCTCCAGCACGATGTCATCTTAACTCATGACACCTAATTAGTTAATCAAAACAATGATGCTGTTTCCAAATAAGATCACATTCTGAACTACTGGGGGTTAGGACTTTAACATATCATTTTAGGGGACCCAGTTCAACTCCTAAAATGTGTATTATCAACCTTAAATTCTTCTACCTTTTGCTTTTTTCTTTTCTTTTCTACCCAACACTTTCTAAAGCTCTGTAATTCATCACCACCAGGAGCATCAGCATTATTATAGTTATGAACTACCTTGACCACATGCTAGGGATTTTTCATACCTTACATCTAAATTTTCACAATAATCTTAGGAGTCATTATTATTTCTATTGTACAAATGAGGCCCAGAGACGTCATCGGGCTTGCTCAAAGGCACGTAGGTATGGGGCTAGAATTTAAACCTAGATCTGACTCTCAAATCCACATTCCTTCTTCTCATCAGGCTGCCTGCACACCTCTTCTGAAAGTTCTCTGCAAGGCACATTTTTCACTTTGACACTTTCCATTCTCTAAAGCCCAGAGGACTTCCACCAAATGCAATGATTTCTAATCCAATCTTGTTTTCCTTCTCTCTCCACTCTTTCTGTCTCCTAGCTAGGCCCTTCTCCTATTCCCACAGCTTCATGACTGCTTTATAGTTAATAGTGTGCTTTCACATAAATTCTCATTTGAACTAAGCAGATGCCTCCAAAATGTGGATTTCTGGGCATATAGTTGGTAGAATTGAAGAAGAGAGAGGCCAGAAGAGCCTGAATTGAGTCAGGGACTGAAAGGGCAAAAAGGATCTGGGCCCCAGAAGTACTTAGGGTCTTGCCACAGGCTAAAAATGCTGTGACTGCCGAGCCTGCCCGGGACTATCATGGAGACACCCGGACATGCTGGGCCTGCCTTGAAGAGGCTGACACTTCAGAAAAGTGCGCTCAGAGAGGACAAGTACTAAGACACATGGTGTTGCTGGAGCCTCTGGACAGAGATTTTTTTTTCTTCTTTTTTTTTCTTGTTGTATCAAAATATACATAAAATTTACCAATTTATTTTTAAGTGTACAGTTCAGTGGCAGTAAGTGCATTCACATTGTTGTACAATCATCACCACCATCCATTTCCAGAATTTTTTCACCTTCCACACAGAAACTCTGTACCTATTGAACATTAATTCCCCTTTTCCCCCTTCTGCCCACCCCCTGGCATGGTAGAGATTTTTCAAGGGTGCCTTCCTTCATGGCCAGTTGCCCCTTTCTAAGAGCAGGGCATCTCAGGTCCTTGAGCCAGATGGAAATAGTCTTCTCTAACCATCCACCTTGTTCATCCATTGAGTGCTCACTGGTAGCCATGGCTGAGATAGGGAAATAAACATGGACCCCCAAATCGTTCTTGTTTCTTGTCACAAATAATCGTAAAATATTGGGTAGAAGACAAGATTGTAATTTGCCTAAAGATTAAAACTCCACAAAACTTTACTTAAGTGAGTTTTAGCCCTCTGTAAGTGCACAGATCGAAAGGTCAGCTGAATGCACTGTGGAAGGCCAAGCACAGCAGTGGGCCCATTGGCCTCAATGCCCCCCTGCCCTTGCTTCTCTTCTGTTCTGCAGGTACTCCTCATCCTGACTGCCCTGCAGCCATCCATCTTCTCAATCTTGGCCAACAGCGGGCAGATTGCTTGTTCACCTCCTTTTTCCTCTAAAATCAGGTCTCAAGGTGAGCACAGAGAGTTCCTCTCTCATCACAGAATGGGTGATAAAGGAGGGTCAGGGAAGAGAGGACCTTGGAAGAGAGGTTGGGCCAGCCTGGCTTCTGGTCAGAATACTCAGAAAGGGATCACCTGAGAAATCCTAGTAGGGTTTTAAGGAGATGGTGACTTCTCTGACCACATAGAGGAGAGCTGCAATCCTACAGCTTGGGGCCAGCCCTGATGGCCAACCCAGGAAGCCACAGGTTCAATCCTCAGCTTCTGGGAGAGGAATGGGTGTGGTTTGAAAGCAGAAGGTCATGCTGATAGGGGCGCCTGCATGGCTCAGTTGGTTAAGCGCATCCGACTCTTGATGTCCGCTCAGGTCATGATCTCAGGGTTGTGGGATCGAGCCCCACATCAGGCTCCATGCTAAGCATGGAATCTGCTTGGGATTCTCTCTCTCTCTCTCTCTCTCTCTGCCCCTCCCCACTGCTCGATCTCTCTCAGGAAAAAAAAAAGAAGGAAGGTCATGATAATAAAACACACAAAAGAAATGGGGTTTAATTCTAGCCTCAGTTTGCAGAAGGTAGAGTCAAGTTCTGGTTTTGGCTCTACCATTAATCTGCTATGTTACCTATGACAACTTAATATCTTTAGACTTGGCTTGAGGACAAACTGGGGAAAGTGTTGAACTCATATGCCAGGGCTGCTAGTGGGGTACCACCTCTACGATTTGGCATAACTTATATTTCACTCCATGCTGCAGTGATGAATTGCCACCTCCTCGTACTGGAGACTTTTCTACTGACTGTGCTGACACGCATGTACTACCGAAGGAAAGACAACAAGGTTGGATATGAACCTTTTGCTTCCTCAGACCTGGATTTGACCTCAAAGTCCAAGGTGGACATTGATAAGAGACACTGTACACATTAAACAGGCACAAGATTTCCTCACTGTCCCTCAACCGTGACCAAATGGGGATGGATTCCATTTTCAGCACAAGCTGATAGATTACATTTGACTATAGCGGATAAAGGAGAATTACGGAACAGGATGCAATTATTTGGGATCTTGCCTGGAGAAGGTGTTTTAAGTTTTATAATAAACAGGATGAGTTTAAAATTCTGTAACTGGGTACATTGCCTCTGTGGCTAACACTATTAGCCCTTGAAGCTTATATATTGAAAGGTCACTCTAAATTTTCCCAAAGCCAGTGAAAGAGGGGAAAGTATATGGTAGTTTGCCTGTTATAAGAACAGGAGTAGATCTCAACCAGGCAAACCCTTATGTCTATTGCAGCACTACTTACAATAACCAAGACATGGAAGCAACCTAAGTGTCCATCAACAGATGAATGGATAAGGAAAATGTGGTTTACCTATACAATGGAATATTACACAGCCACAAAAAAAAGGCTGAGACCATGCCATTCGAGACAACATGGATGGACCTAGAGGGTATTATGCTAAGTGAAATAAGTCAGATTGAGAAAGACAAATACCATATGATTCCACTCATAAACGGAATCTAAACGAAAATGAATAAACAAATGAAAAGCAGAATCAGAACTATAAATACAGAGAACTGATGGTTGCCAGAGGAGAGGGGGTGAGGGGTTGGGCAAAATGGGTGAAGAGGGGTAGGAGATACAGGCCTCCAGTTGTGGAATGAGTTAGTCACAAGAATAAAAAGCAGAGCATAAGGAATACAGTCAATGAAGGGGGCCTGGGTGGCTCAGTTAGTTAAGCATCTGACTCTTGAGTTTGGCTCAGGTCATGATCTCAGGCTCATGAGATCGAGCCCTGTGTCACGCTCAGTGCTCAGTGCAAAGTCTGCTTAAGACTCTCCCTTCTCCCTCTGCCCATGCATACCTGTTCTCACTCTCTCAAATAAATAAATAAATAAAATCTTTTAAAAAAATGGAATACAGTGAATGATATTGTAATAGCAATGTAATGGGACAGATGGTAGCTATACTTGTGGTGAACATAGCATAATGTATAAACTTGTCAAACCACTAAGTTGTACACCTAAAACTCATGTAACATTGTATGTCAACTAAAAAAAAAAAAAAAAAAACTCAACCAGGCAAAAATAGTACAAACCTAAAGTCTCGAAAGAAACCAGGCTTCTGAAGATGTCATTAGGACACCGATGACATTAGACCTCATAGATCTGGATCAGCCTCCCTTAGAGGCACAATGGCTTTTTGGGCCTTCTGTGCAAAGCTGCAAAAGAATTTCCCTGATAATATGGTCATGGAACAATTCTGAGGAGACAAATTAGGATGCAAAAGCCAAGGAACTGAGAGTAGGTAAAATAGGTAAAAGTCCCAAATACATAAAACATCTTATACACACGTATACCAGGTCCAACACACAGGAAATAGAACATTAGGTAAAACCACTTTGCCTTTATTTGCCTAATGACGAAGGCCAAAATAACTGAACAAATTAATAACACTCACACAGGAAAACAATATACTGAACACCGATTAAGGAAAACGCCCTGTGGATGATGGCACTGGGGATGGGGCTAACATTCACACCAAGGCCAGTGTTTCTTCCCACACGCCTTTTTCTTTTCAAGATCCTCAATACAAAGCAACCCAACTAATCAACTCTCTGTGTTTAAAACAGTCAGTGCCCCCTAAGAAGGGTGGGAAAGCCCTCTTTAAACCTAAAGGAACACAACCTGAGTCATCTTAGTGTTAAACCTAGCACTTTTGTTTTCTATCCCAATCTGAGAATTAACATAAAACTTTGGCAGACAGAAAATCTTTCTTCTTTCTTTTAAAGAAAATTAACATTTAATAGTATAATCCCAAGAACATGTTCTACTTATTTGGAAAAATAGAAGCTAGGGACCACTCTTTATCCCATGACAATCTATTCTATGAGAGAAAACAAGAACAATCATTGTATGATTTTGAAAAATACAATCTTTAAAAATACTTACACTGGTAAGCTTAAAAAAAAATACCATTAGTTAAAAACATTGCTAAGGGAGTTTTCCTACCTGTATTAGTTCAACTTCTGGTGAAAGTGTGTGCTGACAGAAAATGTAGACGCTAAGGCTTTTAGGGAATTAAAGAAAAGCAGCAAAATATAATTGATTTGGAAAGATTTTAGACAGAGATCTAGAACAGGGTCAAAAAAGCAATGAGCTCCAGAATAACAAAAGCTCCCCACAAATCAAGATAATCCGGAGAAACAAAAGCACTGTGAAGAACCATGTGGAGGGGCGGGGTGCGGAATATCTGGAGGCTGCCTGACCAGTTGTGTGGTCACAAGTAAAATAAGAAAAATCTAACTCGGGTGCTGGGTTATTGGCAATCAGAAAAAGTCAGAAGTTCTCTTGACCTCATAATGCTTCATATTTTTTCTTATTTAGCATCTTCAACCTCCTCCTATCCCCAGCCTTCTTACCCAAGCCTCTGTGAAATAATGGTCTTTGGCTCTATCAGAAACAGCTGCAGCAGTACAAAGAATCTGTTTCTACTCCTCTCAAGTTTCAACCTCTGTTCCTTAGTGCTACTGAGTCTAGTGTATGAAAAGAGCACACTTTCGGCCCAGCCATCTCAGGGTAAATGAATGTAGCACCTCCTCAGCACCAGCTCCTGGGTTTGTCTCCATCCTTCTGTCTCACAGACTGAGCTCTGAAGCCAACTAGTGGCTTCAGAGGCTTTAAGGCTCTCCCATCTCTACTACATTTGGCTTATTGCTTTGTGTGCGGGATTCTGGGAAATGGCTAATTAATATTAATATTAGAAATCAATATTAACAGTTAATACTAAAATTAATAATAGAAGATTTACAGATCACAGGCATGGTCATGGTAGGCAAACCACTAACTTCATTTAATTAGGCACAAATGATCAAATAATACATCATCCCAACAGCTTCTTCCCTCCACCCATCCTTGTCCAGCACCTAGGATCACATTTATCCCAAAGTAACTAATATGCCGCACAATAAAAGTTATAGCTTTAAGTCAAAATTATTTGAGGATGCACTAGTGTTAGGAGACTGAGGCCACAGAGGCTCGTCAAAAGGAGTGAGAGGGCTTTCCAAGCACGTGTGCATTTGCTGGCCCTGGCGGTCTCACAGAACTTATCAGCACAGCGGTTATACTCCAAGGGCAGGGAATGCCCAAAGTAGCCCACTGACAGAGCAGAGGAAGAGGTCCCAGATAGTAAACTTGAGAGGAGTGACATGCAGAGAGGAAAACCACATTCTGAGCATCTCCCTTGCCAAATACGCTTGGCTAATATGTACTTTGAGGGAACAGGTAGGTGACCTTCAGTGATGATTTCATCATCTTTCTATACCAGGGAGAATAAGACAGAAATAGGCAGAATTCCCGAAGAGGGAAGACTAAAGCAGAAAAGTTAAAATATGTGATCCTATGAAGCTGGTTAATGTAGGAAAACAAGAACTTGAACTGTTTCAAAAAAAGGATTCCAAGCCAAAGCTCACGTAAACCATATTTGATAGCAAAAATAGCACTTCATGAGAAGAGTCAGAAATGTAGTTTACATAAGCTGTCAGGACAACAAGAGATTTCCCTCTCTTTGTGTCTCTACTCTGCCTCTCTGGGTGTTGGGAGTTTTAGGAAACCAGGTAGTCCTGCTGTGCAAGCAGGCAGTGATTCTAGCCTCTGATCCTCAGGCAGAAGAGCAGGTTTTACCAGAAAGTATTTAGGGAAGAGACTATGAGATGCTCACAGCCCTAGCATAGGGGCAAGAAAAGATAAAATACAGTTTTCTTAGCTGAAAACACCAAAACTCCACCCCCACAAGGGGTATTTATGAGTGACAGGGTGGGGCCTGGACATAAGCAATTTTCCCCCTGAACCCAGCTACAGGATTATTGAAGATGATGGTCTGCTCATTCATGTAGCTGCAGAATGCTAGAGGCTTAAAATGAGCTCACACTCAACTGCAAGTGTCAAGCTTCAGCATCTCTGATGTGGAATATAAGTGACGAATCCTCCTGGGCAACCTAACAGGAGAAGTGGGACCATAACCACCAGGCACACGTGGGAAAGGGAGAGAACCTGCCATTCTCTTGTCATGTTTTGTGGCCTGCTGGAGGGGCAGCAGAGGGAAGTCCCAACCACTGCAACTCTCAGAGGAAAAGAAACACCACCTGGAGCATTAGTTCCCTAAGAACATTCTTAAGGACAGAGTTCAAGATAAGGCTTTAGGAAGGGGGGGGGGGGCGTTTCTTTATGCTTTTGTGTTTAAATTCTGTGCAAATCTCTCTAAATATTCAATATGGCTTTGAGCAACATGGATTAACAGATCATGTTCAAACTGCAGACATTTACAAAGTATCCTCTGTAAGAAGCTAGGTAATAAGCATTGAAATAGCAGGGCCAGGAACTTACACCCAAATGGGAAAATTAACCTAATTTGATCCTTTATAGGACTGAGTACTGTCCCACTCCCATCCCCAATCACAATAAACCTGAAAGTGTTCCTTCCTTCAAAGGTAGACTGTAGGAAAGAGATTGACAAGAGCTCCCAAATAACTGGGCAACAGAGTTTTCTGAGAAGATGAACACAGCAGGAAAACCGCAGCTGATGCCATGTGGTCTGTTCCATCCACATCAGTGTCTTTCCATGGACCCCATCGGGTCCAACAAGAAACTCCTCAGGGAGTAAGAAAAGTTCGGCTCAGATCTCCTTCTTCTCACAGCCACATTGACACATGTGCCAGCAGTACATTGAGGGGGTCTGTGACTGAGTTTACTCAGCTTTTAGCTTTTTTTTAAGGACACCAAAATTATGCTATTTCCCCTCCCCCTGAAATCACTCATCAGCATGGCTCATTGGTTGAAGGACTGGCAAGCCACGAACAGAAGGCAAACACTATAGTGTATCAGGAAGAAAAGGCCTCTGGGTAATACACCACTTCCTTCTGCCCACTCCTCAGGGGCAAAGAATTAGTTCTACTTACAACATTTGAAAGACTAATTTTTTAAAAAAATTAATAAAAATGACAATTTCCCTGTCAAAATCACATGAACATAAACAGTAAAGCCAAGTCTGTAGGGAGGGTATATGGATGCAGAACAGGTTTCTGAGGTGTAGTCAGCCTCTTTCTTGGTGTGGATAGGTG